CCCAGTGGGCAGGCAGGTGCCCACAGTCCAGGCTGCGTGGGCCCCAAGCCTGCTCTCCCAGCCCAGCACGGGGCACAGCCGGATTCCCAGCCACCTCTGGCTGGGAGCTGCCTTGCTCCCCAGGCCCTGGCTCCAGCCCTCACGTGGAGGGAGGGGAAGGGCATCCGTCCTGGCAGAGGGCCCACGTGTTCTCCCGGAGACGCTCTGGCTGAGAAGAGCTGCCCCTGGTCCCTGAGCGGTTGGCTCCCCTGCTCTGGGCACTGCCCACCCAGCTCCCCGAGGCCTGTCTCTGAGGGTGGGCCCTGGCAGTGGTCCAGGCCTGCGGGCCCGGCAGCCGCCCACACACTGGCTCACACACTTGCTCGCACACCCAGCCCCAAAAGTCTGGGTTTTGTCAGAAAACAGTTTAATTAGCAGCGTGGAGGCTTGGAGGGTTCACACCGAGTTTGCAGGCTCTCTCGCCTCCTCCCTTCTCACCCGCCACGTGGGTGCTGGGTGCGGTGCCAAGCCTGGGGGCCCGAGAGAGTGAGAGGGGGGCAGGGTAGGGCCTCTCATCTGCCAGTGCAGAGGGAGGAACTGGAGCCTCCAGCACGCCCCCCCCCCCCCCCCCCCCCCCAAGCCTCCAGCTGCCCCTGCCCGTGGCACCTAGAACCTGCCTGGTAGTGCTGGCAGGAGAAGGGGGAGGGAACCCACACAGCCCCGGGCCTGTCTTCAGGGAGGCCTCTGAGTCAGCCCCTGCCCTCAACCCATAGCTCCCTCCCCTCCGGCCCAGGCCTCTACCTGCTCCTGGGGACACGGTCCCAGCCTGTCACTGGTCCCCTCCCACATACCCTGGCACCTTCCAGTTCTCCAAATGGTCACGCCCTCCCTGCCCAGGCACCTGTGCTGGCTCCCACCTCCCTCAGTATGAAGAGAGGCCCTCACTCTGCTGGGCATTCAAAACTCCCCTGAGGCCAGAGCCCTGCCTCCCACCTCAGCTCAGACCACTGCCCTCGGCTAACCCAGCGCTTTGGGACACCAGCCCTCCCACCTCACAAAGCCCTCCCACCTCTGAGCTTTTGCATATGCTGTTCCCTCAGCCTGAAAGTGCTTCCTACTCCACCCTCTACGGGTTACAGGATCAGTCCGCACTCCACACGGAACAGCCACCCCTGCCCTGGGGCTCCGGCCCCAGCCCTCTGCGCCTGCCTGGAGAGAGGGCACCTGGCCGAGGCAGCCCCCGGGCCCATGCCGGCTCCAGAGGAGTGACCCACACTCTGCAGGGGGTCGCGAACAGGCCCTGGGACAGCCATCCTCATGGGAGGAAGCCAGCGGCCACGGAACAAACGGCAGGTCGGAGGCACAAAGAGCCTTTTCATCTCGGAAGGTCAGACACAGATGCTGACCTCCACCTGGAAGTCCAGAATGAAAGCAAACGCCGGGTCTCCGAGCTCGCGCCGGCTCTGACCTGCTTACAGGGATCTAAACTCAGGCCCCTTTGCACATGTCCAGCGAGGTGCTCATTTAAAACGCCGCTTGGCTGAGTCTCCAGCCGGAAAGCCCACCTGGTGTCCAGCAGCTCATCCTCGGCGTCTGATTAATAACGCGCACATAAAAACCCGTCCTGAGAGCCATAGGTTGAAATGAAGCAGGAGGGCTAATTGCTAATAGAAGAATTAATATCAGCGAGGAGCGATCTTTCAGGCAGCCAGGAGCTGTAACGATGGAGAGCGTTTCCATGGCGGGGAAGCCCTGAGGTCCAAAGGGCTGGGGGGTGGCTCTGGAAGACCGACAGGTGGTCCGGAGGAGACTGGCCGCACCTGCCCCATTCTAGCGCGCCCCCGAGCTCCCATGTGACTGTCAGGACATGGGAGTCGGGGACCGGAACCACAGCCCGCGTCACCTCCCCCAGGGAGCCCCTGGGATCCGCGCCCTGCCTCTCCTGCCCTCACTCACCCCTGCTTGGCAAGATGGGGCTTCTGGCCCTCATAATGCCATGTGTCTCCCGCTGCGGCCCTTGGCAAGCCAGTGGCCGCTCTGCTGGACCTCAAGCTCCCGGAGGACAGGGGCTCCTCGTTGGGCCCCAGCGTCTTGCCTGGTGCTGGGAGCATGACTGGACTCAGTACGTGTTTGCAGGATGGGTGGATGGATGGGTGGGTATATGGAGGGATGGATGGATGGATGGATGGATGGATACGAGAGGACCTTAGGAGAGACACAAAACATCTCAGTGCAGTGGGCCCCGGGGCCGCCTTGCATTTGTATGTTTCTTTTGTGCTGAGATTGGCATCGTGCAGGGAGAGGGAACTGGCCCAGAGTTTGAGGCCTGGCTGTCATGTTGGTCGTACGTGGACAAGTGCCTTCTTTTTATTTTAAGTCCCCTTTGCGCCTGCACAATGGGGGCGGTCCTCCCTGCTCGGCCAGCCATGCTGGCTGTCCCCAGGCACAGGGAAGACAGCAAAGCAGGAATGACCTGGAAAAGGATAAGGGCCCTTTGTCCGCGGAAAGTGCCGCGGTGTGGAGAGGTGGGACCGTGCACTTGGCTTTCTCTCCCGCTTTCAGAAGAATCTCATGCAGCTGTGATGTTACCACAGCAAAAAGTGAGCCTGTGCGGGCATCTCGAGCAGTTACAGACGGAAGCTTTTATTCCGTTGACCCAAAAAATGGCTCTTTGGTACCCGAACGCAGAGACCGGTGGGTGGGGGAAGGCGAGGCGAGGCGAGGCAGGGGTGAGCAGAGGCGGTCTCATGGGGGGAGTGCCCAGGAGCTGGCCAAGGAGGCGGGGGCCAGAGAGGGCTCCCGGGCGGCTGAGCCCTTGGGGCCCCACAGGTTCATCTCGTCCTTGGTCAACTTGACTGGCCACAGAGAGCGTCCACGCACCACCGCTGACTTCGTCTGCACTGCGTGGTTTCGCAAACTCGATCCAGTCATGTGCCCACTGGGGACTCCACGGCTCGGCCGGTAGGTGTCCGCTAGAGGGCGCACTTACACATTTGTTCCCGCCCCGTGAATACTAGGAGGCTGCTAACACGCGTCCTGGTGCCCCCACACGTGCAACAAGCTCCCACCTCCAAGCACGCCCACCCACCAAGCTGACCTGGGAACACACACGCCCCGACACCGAGAAGCACCCCTCGGCCACGGCAGCAGTCAGGACCCCGTGGGCCCTGTGGGGTCTGGGGCATGTGTACGCCTGGCTCCCGGGGAGCTTTGCAGGACCATGGGACAGGCGTGGGTAGGGGCAGCGGGGAAGGGGGACAGCAGGGAGGGCAGACCCAGGAGATACACAGCTGGATGGGCCAGAGCTCTGCTTGAACCCTGGGCTTTCTACATGAGGAAGCACCGTGGGGAGTTCACTGGGTGCATTAATTAGGCACCTTCTGTGTGCAAGGCACCGAGCCGGCCACGTCTCAGTGAGCAGTCTCAGACAAACAGATGCAGTCCCTTCCCTGACCCTGGAGATACTGTGCCACTGCTGGTTTGTGCGACCACCCACCCAAGGCAGGAGGTGAGGGGTGAGGTTAGGTGGGCTGTTGCCGGAGGGGGAACAGCGTGGGGTTTGGGGGAAGTGGTGGAGACGGGTGGGTGGGCCAGGCAGGGCCAGGCCTTGTGGGGCCCTGGAGGCTGCCCAAGAGCACTGCCCCGACCCCGAGGCGGCCCCAGGGCCACTGCCCCGACCCCGATGGCTGTGGGAAGGGCCTGATGCAGCGGGTGAAGCTGCCTTCCTGCATTCATAGTTTCTGAACTCTCTGTCTTGGGGGACCAGCGGCTGCCTCCACGTACACCCCGCCCCGACCCCCACGGTATAAAAGTTTCCTCGCCTCGTCCAGGGGGCAGATGACCTCATTGGACTCTTCCCATCTCTTGCTTCCATAGAGAAATTACAGTTTATAATCGGATGAAATCACACGGGCGCAGCAGCGATCAGAGCCCACACTGGAGCCAGCGTCACCCTCACGAGGGGGCTCTGTCCTCATCCTCCCTCCTGTCCACCCCCCCCTGCCCCTTCCTGGGGCCGCTCCGCCTCCTGCTCACACCTGCTGTCCCCCGGGGCTTGGTAGTTCTACACCTCCTTGCTCCTGGGGAAGCTTGTCCCCAAACCTGCCCCATCCTGTGGGCCCCATCGGCCTGCTCGGCCTGGCCAGCACCGCCCCTCTGAGTGCAGCCCTGCCAGGCTGGGCGCCCCGTGGGCAGCGACCCCCAGTCTGGGCTCTGGGCTTATTAAAACACATGCCCTGAAAATTCGTTTTTATTTGGAACAGCCCCTGACAATGAGCATTTCTCAAACCAGCCACCTTCAGCCCTACAAAGCCAAGTGCCCAGATGCAGCCGAGCCCATCTGGATCCTATTTCAAACCAGAGCTGACACTCAGATGTGTAATGAAAGCACTTTCCAAAGAGGGGCTCCTGCAGGGGGAGTCGGGACACCGGGGCAGCGGGCAGCGCCAGGCCAGTGAGAGGCTGTGGGTTTGTTGGGATTCCTGCAAACAGCCGGCCCTGCCCCCAGGACTGTGGAAGGGCAGGTGGGGCGCGGAGCCCTGACCCCAGCCTGGGAAGCCGGTGGCCGCAGGAGGGAGGCCGGGACGCAGCTTCCCTGGCTCCCTGATGCTCCTGCTCGCGAAGGGCAGCGGGAGGGCAGCGCTTGTTCTGGAAGCCGAGGCCACGGGCCCAGTGGGGTCCAGCTGCTGGGGGAGCGGAGCTCTGGGCTGGGGCAGGGCCCCTGCAGCCTCAGGCTCTTTCAGGACTTCCTTTCTCTCGTTCCTGCGCCCCCTCACCCCCCACCCAGGAAAAGGGGAGCCAGGGCTCTGGGGAAGGGGCTGTGTTCCTGGGTTTGAGAAGAGAAGGGAGGCGGTGGAGAATGGTCCCAGGCCCCTCCCAGCTCATGGGAAAGTGGCTTCGAGAACAGGGTGCCGCGGGATGGATGGGAGCAGAGGGGTCGCAACCCCAGCAGCCTGTCCCCGGGGGGGCTCCTAATTCCAGGGTTTAATCACTTCCTTTGTTTTTTGGCAGGTGAGGAGGCAGGGAGTGGGTGAGGAGGACTCCTTTTTGGACAGACAAGCCCAGGAGGTAAAGCAGGAATAACCAATCCCTCACCCCCGCGCCGCCTCCCTGCGAGAAAACCTCTCTGCAAACAGGGGCAGCCAAGCAGGACCGAGCCCCCACCCCCCTAGCATCTTCCCAGAGAGGGGCCGGTGGGCCTGACAGCTGGGTGGCACATGTCACCGCCCAGCCCGCCGTGCGCATCTGAACTCCTCCGCGGGTAATGGACTCCCGCCCGCCCCGGGAGACGGAGACGCAGCCCGAGTGGCAGGAACACCGCGGCTTTGGAGCGTGGCTCCCTCTCGTCTGTCTCAGCAGAGCGCTCCCTGCACGGGAACCCATTCTGCCAAGTGACTTAAAGGGATTAAAAAATAAAAAAAGACCTCGGTAAAGAAAAGGGGGTAAAAGCCACGCAGAAGCCTTTTGGAGGAGGTGGTGGCCAGCAGACAAAGAGCACAAGTTGAAAGAGGCAGTGAGAGGCCACCGCCCGCCCCGATGGGCGCCAGGCCATAGGGCATGCCTGGGGCGCAGGGGCCCAGGACACCCGCAGGCCGTGCACGGGGGTCGGGGCTCCGCCGGGGAGAGGCCCGCAGCGCCCGGGGCCCAGGCCGTGCAGAATGCTGCTCTGGACCCACAGCCCCGCCTGACCTCGAGGAGCCCAGAAGAGTCCAGCACAGGGCCTCCCCCTGCACGCCGGGCTGCCCCCAGCGCCCCAGGTCTGCGGTCTGCACCCCGAGTGCCAGGGCTGAGGCCGGAATGTGAGCGTGGCCCAGGCCCACCTGGACCCAAGCGCAGCATCCAGAGCGGCCATCCCAGCCAGACCAGTGGCTCAGCGAAGGAGGTGAGGCGGACGGGAAGGGCCCCGGTGGTGCAGGCAGGCCCCGGGGCTCCCAGTGCCCAGGGAGGGCATACAGAGAAACAGCTGGCCCGCCCCTCCCCGGCCGGGTCAGACTGGGGCCGCACAGAGCTCCCCAGCTCCGTAGCTCTCCCAGCCACCCACACATGTAGTGCAGGCCGCTGGCCACTTCTGCATGCCAGGGGAGGGCTCGCTTGCTACCTGGTGGCCCCGTGCTGCGGGCTCTGTCCCAGGGTGGGTGGACCCAAGGTGCAATGGAGTGGTCTCTCAGGAGTCACCTGCTGCACACCTTCTGGGCCCTGCTGTCCTTGGACGTGGGTCCCTCTGAGTTCTGCCCAGAGGGGACAGCAGCGAGGCTGTGGGGAGCAGAGCTTTGGTGGCTTCAGTGCTGGCGAGGAGGACCCAGCCAAGGCCCCGCTCCCTCTGGCCTTTGGGCAGCCCCTGCTCGGCTCCCGGCTCAGCCCCAGGAGGGCAGTGAGTGCCAAGACGGATGGAAGCAGCTGGCTGGGATCCCCAGGCCTGGACCCCTAAGGTCTGCCAGGGCTGGGCCAGCTGGGGGGCAGGGTCCTGTCCTGTCTCCCCATCCGCAGAGGCCAAGAGGGAGGACTCAAGCCTCCCCAGACACAAATCCTGGCAACCTGGAGCGGAGGCAGTGCCCTGGGCAGGGCAGGGAAGCCCCAATTCATTAACAAGATGGAAAATGACACTTCCCCGCGCGCTTCCCCAGGAGAGGGGCTGATTTATGACGGCTCCGGGCCGGGACATTCGTCAGCGCGGCGTGGTGCGCGCGCCGTCTGCGGGGGCATTAATAGTGTGTTATTAGCCACCAGCGTGAAAGATGCCCTGTGGATGGGCTATTTGCTGTTATTTATTGTGGAGGTGCCAGCCCAGCAGCGGGGCCGGCTGGAGCCTGAGCTTGGCCCCTGCCCGACTGCCTCCCTGATGCTTGTCCCCCTTCTCCTCCCAGCCCCGTCAAGGGGTTGGGGGGGGGGGCGTCATCCCTGGGGCTGAGGCCAGGACGGGAGGAGGCAGCTGGCTATGGTCCCCCAGGCCTGTACCCCAAATACTTATGGAGAACCTGTTCCGTGCCCGGCTCTGCGTCGGACGGGGGCTGGCGGCTGGCCTTCCAGGTGTGAGCGGCGTGACCTTGGGCCCCTCCCTGAGTGCGCTGCCCTCTGTGCACCGGAGGCCCAGGCTCCGCAGGATGTGGCCGGGGTTTGTGAAGGGCCGGGGTGCAGCAGGCGCTCAGGCTGGCCATTTACTGCCACTCCCTGGTCTGACCCCAGAGGGCCAGAGGGGCTGACCCCCTGGGGGTGGGGAGAGCAGCTCCCATGAGACCCTGCTTCAGCCGGACACTGTCCATCACCGCCTCCCGTGCCCACCCCCAGGAAAGGGCTTGAGAGGCGGTGCCAAGGCCGGAGGAGGAGGGCAGGGAGAGGGCTGCCCACAGCTGCTGGAGGGTTCTCTCTGCCCCGGACCCGTCCGTCCCTCTCTGGGCCTCTGTGAACAGCCAATGATCTGCGAGGTCCTCTCCCTCCCCAGCCCTGAGAGAGGGCTCCCCCTGTGCTATCTGTGGGAGTGAGAGGGAGGGGCCATCTCTAAGAAAGGGGGGCCGGCCTCTGACGCCTGGAGGGGGACCTGCAATTGGGAAGTTCCAGGCTGGTCACCCATATGAGAGGAGATGAGGGGACAGCAGGGGTCTGCCTTGGGTTTGCGCCCTCCTAGGGTGGGGCCTCCCTAGCTGAGGGGTAGGTAAGACACTGGGAGGGGAGAGCAATGGACATGGAGTCCAAGGCCTGGGCTTGTGTCGGCCTCTCCACCACGCGCTGCACAATTCAGACCAGGCCCTCTGCCTCTCGGGGCCCCATGGTGGAGGCCCTGGGCTCTCTGTTACCTCCTGGTGTGGCCGATGGAGGGCCGGCCTCTCTCTTCTCTCCTACTGCCGGGTCCTGGGATTCAAATTCTAGGGCTTCCCTTTTGGCGAATTCATTCATCCATCCATTCATCCATCCATCCATCCATCCATCCATCCATCCATCCATGCATTCATCCATTCATCCATCCATCCATCCATCCATCCATCCATTCATCCATTCATCCATGCATTCATCCATTCATTCATCCATTCACAGATGTTTATGGGCACCCGCTGGGCCAGGCTGTGGGCGAGGCTCATGGATAAGACAGAACGTGGTAGGAGTTTGCATTCTCGAGGCAGGGTTTGCATAGTCAGCTTGTCCTACATACTAGGCGGGGCGGGGGGGGGGGGGGACGTCTCACCCGGACCAGGGCCTGCATGGTGAGGTGCCCCACCTCCGCCCAGCTCCCAGCCTCTGCCACATGATCGGCAGCATCGCCAGACATGGTCTTTCCGGGTCACCCGCTCCTCTCTCGGCTCCTGGCTGCCAGGATCCCGGCTGCTGAGGAGGCCGGCAGGGCAGGTCCATGGGACCACTGCCCTGTTCTCTGGGGCTGTCCCAGCCCTGCAGGCGCTGCCCTCCCTCTTCCTTCCTCCCAGCCCCCCAGAATAAAGGACCTCGGGGCCCCCTCCTGCCTCTGAAACTCCCCGGCGGCTCCTTTTCCTTCCCAGGAGGAACTGAGCCTGAGTCCAGGCAGCTTTACTAAAAATGCACCCTGACGGCGGAAGTGTCAGGTGTGGAACCGCTTATTAAATGACGCCGGAGAGAAAGAGACAAAATTACACGTGTCTCCTTTCATCCCCCTCCCCCTCCCGGCCCTGAACAGTGTCATATCGAACACTGTTATCAATATAATTAACCTCCTAAGACCCAATTTTAAAGTCTTATTTTTAAAAGCGATTTACATTCTCTGAAGTTCAGGGCACCCCGGCCCCGGCCCCGCCCAGGCGGCCCGCGAGGGGAGGTGAGCTGGAGGTACGAGTACATTTTTAGTGGATTTGCATACCTGCCTGCAATTACCGCCAGTGATAACTACTGATGCATAATGCATGCAGCATGAAATTAGAAAAATAATTAACTTCAGGTTTTAAAAGAATCTCTACCCCCACCCCCCACGCGTTACAAGTTCTCAATGGCACCAGCAGACAGATCAGGCGTGGAGTTGTGCAGGGTAGGGTGAGAGGGGCCTTGAGGGCCTTGGCATTCAGCCCCCCCCCCCGCCCCCCGCCCTAAGGAGGTGTCCCGTAGGCATAGACTGCTAAAATCCCAGGTTCCCCTCCTCACCGGCCACCCCATCTCCTGGACCTGCAGGGGCGCGCTGCCGATCGCTAGTGAAAGCGCTGGTGCCGGTTCTGACCTCCACTCTGCGCCAGGCCCTCCGCGCAGGCGTGAACATCACCGTCCTTTATCCGCACAAGAACCCAGGGGAGTGCATGGTTCACGGTCCCATCTTGCGGATGAAGGCCTGAGACCCGAGGCCATGCCTGCCTTCACAGGGGAGGGGCGTCCTGGAGGTGGGCAGGCTCTCCCAGGCCTCCCTGGGCAGAGAGGTAGAGGCTGCTCCCCCCTCTGCCTCTTGACCTCCCTCCCTCCATGTGGCTTATAACCAGGGAGGTAGTGTGGGCTGGTGAAGAAGAAAATGTGGGGCCCCTCATTATTTAAACAAAGATTTGCTGAGGACCCACCACAGATATGGAGGGGACCCTGCCTTGGTGGAGCCCCCTGCCTGGTGGGTTGGGATCCCCCCGCCTCCCCTTCCTGGGGCTGAAACTGCTTCTGTCCCCAGTCTGCCCTGCACACCTCGCTCCTGCCTGGGGCCCTGCTCTGCCAGTGGGTGAGGGCCTGGCAAGGTTTAGGAAAACACAATTCTTCTTGCTGAAGGGAGGGTCTGGGGGGGGTGGCGAGAGGCGGCCTCTGTCCCGCCTCCGCTTCCCGGCCCTCTTGTGTCTGCCCTCCCTCTTCTGAAGCTCAGCCAGGACTAGTGGGCAGCCGCCCCGAGTGGCCATGGGAGGGCCTTGGGGTCCTCTCTGGGGACAGTTGGGGCAGCTCTTCTTCCCCAAACCACCGGCCTGTGCTGGGCACTCCCCACGCCCTCCCTCAGCAGCACGTTACAGATGAGGAGACCGAGACCCAGAGAGGCATCACCCTGGTCCCGCAGCCGGGGACTGGGGAGGCCGGGTTCTAACCCAGCGCCCTGCTGTCCTCTCTCCTCACACGCCTCTTTCGTGGAGTCACCGCCACCCGGAATCCTCAGGTTCCTCACTGGCGCTGATGGGCCCGCACTGCTGCTGGATGTAGGACCAGTGCTCCCACCCAGCCTGTGGGGAGGGGCTGAGGAAGCACAAGGTGGAGTCCTGCCAGGTAGCAGCGTGGCCTGCGGGCTCCCAGTGCACCAGGGAGTGAAGACGGGGCTGGTGGGGAGCAGAGGACAGAGACACGCAGTTGACACAGAGCCTCGGCCAGCGTGCCTGGGGCAGCGGGAGAATCACAGCAGCTGTGAAACCTCAGGCATCTGTCACATCCAGGCTGCCCTTATGAGGGGGTCCTTTGCACGTATTATCTTATTGCATCCTCAATGGCCACACTCATAGATGGACTGAAGCTCAGAGAGGGCAAGTAACTTGCTCAGGGTCACACAGCCTGGAGGTGGCCGAGGCAGGACTCAAACCCAGGTTTCTCTGTCCTGGAAGATGGCAGGAGCTAGTAGCAAAGGCCAAGAACGGTGTCCCTCGGCTGATAGGGGTCTGGATACCTCCAGTCTGAGCCACCTCACTCCTCCCCTCCCCTCCCCCCAACAGCAGATCAAGGATCCTGCTGTCAGTCATGGAGCTGGCAGGCCATAACTCACACCATGCTGAAGTCTGGGGGACCCATGCAGCGATGACAAGTGGCCCCGTAAAAGACAGGCGATTTACCGGGTTTAATTTGATGGCCACATAAACCACCCAACACACAACTCGGGAATAAAAGGCTGCCTAGCACCTGGGCAATTAATGGGCTCCTCCAGCTCCCCCCACCCCCCCAGCCCAGGCCCCGCCCGACTCTCCCAGAACCAGGGGGCTCAGAGCTGGTGGCCTTGGGGAAGGGCTAGCAGAAGAGACTTGAGCCAAGATGGATGAGGCCCACGGATAGGGGAACAGAGAGGCCTTGGGCCCCTGCCTCCCAGATGCTGGTTGGTTATCCATCAGGCATCTCTGAAATATGCAATTTATACTCGGTCATGGATGCTGGGCCTCCGGAGGCTGCTGGCTGCAGCCATGAGCTGAGTGGGCACCGGGAACGGACTTCCATGCCAGAAAAGGTGGCGGCTGGCCTTGCCTTTGGCCTGAACAAACCTGCCCCCTGCTCAGGGCACTGGCCTGGCACAGCAGAGCGCAGGGGCCGCCGCATCCCCGTGCCAGGATGCAGCCTTGGCAGACCAGGGCGGGGGGTGTCCTCTGACCATTTGCTGGGGCCCAGGCAGAGGCTCCCCCAGGCTTGGCCTTGACCTCTGAGACCGAGGGGGTGGCCTTGGGCAGGCCTGCACCTTCCTGTCCTCAGCACCTGCCCTGGCCCTGACCCTCTGCTCATAAGCAGCTTGGGACAGGACCTCCAGGCTCCATCACCTTCGAAATTCTGGCTCCGTGCAGGGTAAGGGACAGATGTGCAGCTAGAACCCCGGGCTGGCTGTGACCCTGGGTAGGCCCCTCACCCCTGAGCCTCAAGCTGCTCAGCTGTAAAATGGGCCAGAGGACGTGTGTATGTGTGTGTGTGTGTGTATGACAGGGTGAAGGTACAGACATATGCCTGTGAAGGGGGTGGGTGAGGTCTGGCTCGAGGGCTCCCCCTGCTGCCTGGGCTCATCCCTGTCCTCTGGAGGTGGGCCTACCCAGGTCTATGGGACCATTCCCTGCTCTGAGCCCATCAGTCCTATGATCTGAGCCAGGGCCCTTCCCAGTCCCGGGTATGACGACAGGTAGGGGAGTCAGTGGTCAGATAAGGTTGGGCAGCCTGGGATACCCAGGCCCCTCCCACATCTTACGCGGTGGCTCTCAATGCGCTGAGGGCAGGAGGGGCTGGGGAGCATGGTGCGAGGCTCTGGTTGGGAGAAGAGAGGGAAGTGGCCGGGGAGCCTGGTCAGGGAAACAAAGACGACAGCCTAACCTGCAGGAAGCACAGACCACCTCCACTTCCCGAGGGTGGGGTGTGAGTGGGGTGAGGACCGAAGCCTGGGCTGGGGGCCGAGGTCCGAGGCTGCAGTCCTTGGTCCCTCAGGCCAGTGGGTGCTGGTGGAGGGAGCCTGAGCTGGCTTCAAGGGCCCCGATGCTGGGCATGGCTCAGCCCCCTTCTTCCCCCTCTGGTTCCAGGTGCAGATCCCCGGCACCCTTCCCCCCGATCCTCAGTGTGTCCTGGGCTGGCCCTTGACCCGCCCTGGGGGACCCTATAGGCAAAGCTCCGTGCTGCAGACAGGCCCTGGGTGGGTTAGTGCATTGGCGGCGGCCAAGCCTGAGCTCTCTCCAGAGGCCTGGGAGCTGCAGGCAGGGCAAGGCCCCTGCAAATGCAAATGGCGAGAATGTGGGGGGCTCGTGGAGGAGGTGCCCCCACGTTCTCAGTCCCTTCTGTACTCGGTGGCCACGGATGCCAAGCCACGCCAGGCCACCACAGCCCCTGGCCCCGGCCCTCGAGCGCCGAGCTGTAGTTGCAACATTAAAACACGACAGTCACCAAAACAGCATGATCCACCGTCCACGGACACTCAGCGCTTTGGGCCCGGTGACCCAGATTCTGGCCGAGGCTCCCCCTACCACCGCTTCAGTGGTCGTGACGAAGTTCACATCCCCACACTCAGCTTTCTCATCTGTGAAATGGGAATGAGACGGGCTCTGACCTCCTGGGTGCTGGGAGGATTAAATGACTTAATTCCTAAAGCTCTCGGCGAGGTCTTTATTATAGGATGAGCTACCATCCCCCCAGAATTGAATCACAAGTGGCCAGAACAAGTGGCATATGGTATGGGCTGAACAGACATCTGTTGGGTGACTGGGTGGCCAGGTGCATGGATGGATGAGTGAGTGGGGGATGGACAGACTGATGAGTGAGTGGGGATGGCGGATGGTTGGACGGATGGACGGATGGACGGATGGACGGATGGCTCAATGAGTGGACGGGTGGATAGAAGGAGGGATGGTGGAGCAGACGGAAGCTCTATCTGGCATCAGGAAGCCCAGCAGAGGAGAGGGCATCTGAGCCTGGTCCTGAAGGGTGAGGAGCAGTTTGCTAGACGGAGAAGAGCAGTCCTGGTATAGAGACAGAGAAGGAAGAGGGTGTGACAGGGCTGAGACACGGAGACACTTGGCCGCTAAGGCGTGGAGTGAGGCCCCGACTGGCTCCCGCGCTGAGCGTGTCCTGGTTCTGCTCTGTCCCAGGGCTGCCCCGGGCGGGGCCTCGGTGGGGCTCCGAGGGGCCACTGTCCCACCCCTGAAAAGCCTTTGTGAACCGGGATTTACACAGCAGGCCTTGGCCTGCCGCGTGGAGATACCTTCCCCACTGAGGTTGAAAGATAATTTCTCTTTAATTGCTTTTTTGTAAAAAACCATTATGAACAGTAAAATAATGAGAAAGGTCTACGCTGCCATTTTTCCATTTGTGAAAACTGAAATTACCCCTCCAGGCAATTCCCTCAGAGCATGGGTCCTTCCCTCCTTTTGTGTCTCATTCCTTTAAATATAACAAAAATATATACATATATGCACATTCAAGTTTTGTGACTTTCGGAAGGGGACGAGGTGTGGAGTCATCTCCCACAGAGCGCAGAGCTGGGGCGGGCACCTCTGATGAAGAGAGATTTCTGTAAATACGCGAGGAAGCAGTTCTGTTGACACCTCCGTCCTCTGTCTGTAAATGCACGAGTGACACAGGACATGTTTTAACACCAGACAATGAAGCGCCCGCTCTCCGCTGCTCAGCACTGATGGCGTTGGCAGCTCCTTTCCGGCAGGTTCTGGTCACGCGCCCCCCCCCCCCCCCCCCCCCCGAGCTCGCAGGCCTCCCCGAAACAAGCTCTCCCGGCAAACCCTGGGCCTGAGCCAGATGTGAGTTCCTCACTCCAGTGAGAAATGGCTCGGAATCCATAAAACACGCCCTAAATCCATCCCATCGACGTGGACCGCCACGTGTGGCATTGGCCGTGAAAACTGGTTCAGTGTGAGATCTTGAAAGAAGAAAGCGGAGCTGCGGCGTGGCCGTTGCCAGAGGAGCCTCGCCCGAGGCGCGGGGTCGCCGTCCGGGGGGCGGGCAGCCTCCGTCTCATTCACGGGCAGCATGCCTCTCCCACTGAGGTTTGAAGTTAGCCAGAGTCCACCTCAGCCTGAGCGGTCACCTGTGACATGACCTGGGCACGGAGGGGCCGGGCGCCTGTGCCTCCAGGCTCGATTTCCGCCCCACGTCCCCGCCCGCAGTGGCCTCTTGGTGGCGCGCGGGTGGCCGCTGCGACGCGACGCCCTCTGACCGCACGTGTCTTGTGCTCCTTGCAGGTGTTGAGGCCCCAGGTCAGGTGAGGCCCGGCTCCCCCCGCCATCCACCATGGTGGTGGCACACCCCACTGCCTCCGCCACCACCACTCCCGCTGCCACGGTGACGGCCACTGTCGTGATGACCACGGCCACCATGGACCTGCGCGACTGGCTCTTCCTCTGCTACGGGCTCATCGCCTTCCTGACGGAAGTCATCGACAGCACCACCTGCCCCTCCGTGTGCCGCTGCGACCACGGCTTCATCTACTGCAACGACCGGGGGCTCACCTCCATCCCCGCCGACATCCCCGACGACGCCACCACCCTCTTCCTGCAGAACAACCAGATCACCAACGCCGGCATCCCCCAGGGCCTCAAGACCAAGGTCAGCGTGCAGGTCATCTACCTGTACGACAACGCCCTGGACGAGTTCCCCGTCAACCTGCCCCGCTCCCTGCGGGAGCTGCACCTGCAGGACAACAACGTGCGCGCCATCGCCAGGGACTCGCTGGCCCGCATCCCGCTGCTGGAGAAGCTGCACCTGGACGACAACTCCGTGTCCACCGTCAGCATCGAGGAGGACGCCTTCGCCGACAGCAGGCAGCTCAAGCTGCTCTTCCTGAGCCGGAACCACCTGAGCAGCATCCCCTCGGGGCTGCCCCGCACGCTGGAGGAGCTGCGGCTGGACGACAACCGCATCTCCACCATCCCGCTGCACGCCTTCAAGGGCCTCCACAGCCTCCGGCGCCTGGTGCTCGACGGCAACCTGCTGGCCAACCAGCGCATCGCCGACGACACCTTCAGCCGCCTGCAGAACCTCACCGAGCTCTCGCTGGTGCGCAACTCGCTGGCCGCCCCGCCCCTCAACCTGCCCAGCGCCCACCTGCAGAAGCTCTACCTGCAGGACAACGCCATCAGCCACATCCCCTACAACACGCTGGCCAAGATGCGCGAGCTGGAGCGCCTGGACCTGTCCAACAACAACCTCACCACGCTGCCCCGCGGCCTGTTCGACGACCTGGAGAACCTGGCGCAGCTGCTGCTCCGGAACAACCCCTGGTTCTGCAGCTGCAACCTCATGTGGCTGCGGGACTGGGTGAAGGCGCGGGCGGCCGTGGTCAATGTGCGCGGCCTCATGTGCCAGGGCCCCGAGAAGGTCCGGGGCATGGCCATCAAGGACATCACCAGCGAGATGGACGAGTGCTTCGAGGCGGGGCCACAAGGCGGCGCGGCCCATGCGGCCGCCAAGACCACCGCCAGCAACCACGCCTCTGCCACCACACCCCAGGGCTCCCTCTTCACCCTCAAGGCCAAGAGGCCGGGGCTGCGCCTACCCGACTCCAACCTTGACTACCCCATGGCCACAGGCGATGGCGCCAAGACCCTGGTCATCCACGTGAAGCCCCTGACAGCGGACTCCATCCGTATCACGTGGAAGGCCACGCTCCCTGCCTCCTCCTTCCGGCTCAGCTGGCTGCGCCTGGGCCATAGCCCGGCCGTGGGCTCCATCACAGAGACCCTGGTGCAGGGGGACAAGACGGAGTACCTGCTGACAGCCCTGGAGCCCAAGTCCACCTATATCATCTGCATGGTCACCATGGAGACGGGCAACACCTACGTGGCCGATGAGACGCCCGTGTGCGCCAAGGCAGAGACAGCCGACAGCTACGGCCCCACCACCACACTCAACCAGGAGCAGAATGCCAACCCCATGGTCGGCCTGCCCCTGGCGGGCATCATTGGGGGCGCTGTGGCCCTCGTGTTGCTCTTCCTGGTCCTGGGGGCCATCTGCTGGTACGTGAACCGGGCCGGGGACCTGCTGACCCGGGAGCGGGCCTACCACCGAGGCAGCCAGAAAAAGGACAGCTATCTGGAGTCGGGGACCAAGAAGGATAACTCCATCCTGGAACTCCGAGGCCCGGGGCTGCAGATGCGGCCCATTAACCCTTACCACGCCAAAGAGGAGTACGTGGTCCACACCATCTTCCCCTCCAACGGCAGCAGCCTCTGCAAGGGCACGCACACCATCGGCTACGGCACCACCCGGGGCTACCGTGGCGGCGGCATCCCCGACGTAGACTATTCCTACACATGATGCCCGCCGGGCCGCCCGCCCCCGCCCCCACCTCCTCCTGGCGCGGCGACCCCGTGGCTTTGCCCCGCTTGCTGCCATCCGACACAGCAAGGACAAGAAACTCCACGGCGACTTTCCCAGCAAACGGCAGCGTTTGGGGAGGGCTGACGCTCTTCTAGAACACAGCCGAGAAAACAAGCTTTTTAAGGACAGAAGACGGGAGGGGGGTGGGTTGACGTTGCTGAAGACATAATTTATACCAAATTATGCCAGTTGGGGAGGGAAGGACTAAAAATAATGTTGCAGGAAGGGCTGGGTCAGGGTGTTTTCCCCTGAAGTGGAAAGATACTACCTGTACCGCGTCTGTGCGCGCCTCCTGCTCTGAGGGGACCGTCAGAGAGCCGCCGTGGGACACGGACGCCCCCGCGCAGCTCGCCGCCAGCCGCTCCGGCAGCGACGAGATGGGAGAGCGGGAGGAAGAAAGAGCTTTTCTTCAGTCTCTCCCCGGTTCTCCCCCTACCATTTCCCTCGCAGATTTCCAGAAATATCGCGTCTTTTACTGCGTTCTTCGAACAGTGATGAAACCGATTAAAAACTAAACTCCCTTTTTCCTATCGGAACCCTCTCCACTTCCATGGACCACACGCCGTGGAAGCCCTCCGGAAGCTGCGGCCTCCCCGGCCACTTGGAATCGCGTCTATCCACCCGTCGCGAGGTTGCGTCTCTGAACTCGGACGGGTCGGTAGAGCCGCGGAGACGGTTCTGACCGCGCTTCTTGGGTCAGTTCGTCGCATTTCTTGAGACAATAGAGTCATGAACATGTTGCTTTCCCCTAACGATCATTGAGTAAGTAGACACGGTGTGCTGGGGATCGGAGTGGGGTGGGGGGACAATGCTGTTCCTAAAGGCAGAAGCGGGTCTGTTCTGGGCGGGTGGCTGGGGGGACCCTGGGCAGGGGATGCTTCCAGTTTGATCCTATCTCAGGTTGGCCAGAGCTGGGCCATGCTCCTTTCTGCTATAGAGAAACTTCCTTTAACTGCCAGTATCTTCATCCCCCCACCCCCACCCCCCCACACACACACGCAGTCACCTCAGTACTCCTTCTCTGTGCTCTGCTTCCTCCTGGGACAGGTAGCTGGTGCAGGGATGGGTTCTGTGTGTTCTTTTACATCAGCTGATTAGAGTTAATGGTTTCCATGGCTGCTCAAACAACACCCAGAAAAAGACATGAAGCTTCTCAGAAAAACCCCGGGGAAAAACTCCCAAGTGCAAAACACTCAGCTGGACTGTTCTAGAGGCGGAGGCCCAGGTCTCCCAAGAAACAAGCCGGCCCCCAAAAGGGCACTGACCGGGGCCCTCCCAGAGCTAAGGTTGATTGCCTCCCCTGGAAGCAGCGTGGCCGTCATTTATCAGCTGACGGTGCAGCATGGCGAGCGTGAGACGACGAAATAACGACACAAATCCGGACGGAAGAGCGGACGGGCGCCCAGGGTTCTGCTCGCTCTGCGTCCCTGCTCTCGGGAACGGGGTCGCCCTCCATCAGCATGCCACGTGCCCTGCACCGGGCAGAGCGGTGTCAGAGGAGCGGCGGTGGCCGGAGGGCAGGGAGGATGAGAAGGGGTCCAGCTGCTGGTGGCGGCGTTTTCAAAAGGCCTCAGCTGCTCTGACAAAAGCCAGAGGCAGGAGGGCGAGACTGGACAGCGGGCCCAGGGCCTGGGCTGACGGCTCGATGGACATGAAAAGATGCTGCTGGCCCTTCAGGGAAGGGGGTGGGCAGGAACGGACACGAGACCTGCGTGAGATGGAGGCGAGACGCGGCCGGGCTCGCCGTGGCCTGGCCGACAGAAGGGTCCCACCAAGTGGGGCTCCCCGCTCCCCAGCCCCAGGGACGGGCCGAGGGGCAGGGACACCTTGCATTCGAAAACAAACCTTTTTCCCTTTTCCTGTTTTCTCAGTGTCAGGAGAGATTTTCCAAGCCTTAATTCCACGTGTGTACAAAGGTGGCCTCCCTTTGGCCTGTGGGGCCTCCAGACACAGGCTCGTCCCCATTCCCGGCAGCTCGGAGGGGCAGAGGGGCGCCGGGGGGTGGCCGGGAGGAGAGGGTGCGCGCGGGTGTGGGGCGCTGGCTGGAGGGCAGGCGTCCATGGTCTCTGCTGTTTCTGAAGTGAGGTCCCCTCCCTCAAGGCACCCCTCCTGCCTTCCGTCAGTGTCCCAGGAAAGTTGGCCCCTGGACACCCCACTATCAGCCCCCAGGCCCCCACTGCCAACGTGCTCGGTCCCCCCTCCCACTCGAGGCCCTCCCTCCTCCTCTCCCCAGGCCAGGCAGAGGTCAGGTCATCCCTCCGAAGCTGGGAAGGCCCCGGGGGCAGTAGGGGGCCCCCTCCGTGGGGCTGCGTGTAAGGGAGGGCCTTGCAGGCCTGGAACCAGCCTGTGCGGAACATTCCCCCAGAGCATTAAGCAGGCCTGGCCGCCCAGCCCCAGGACAGAGTCCCTCTCCTACTCCGACTCTTGCACGACCAGCGCTCAGGCAGGGCTCACACGGGCTCAGAGCCCAGGCCCTGCCTGACTCGCCGCGCATCGTCCCACCCCTGTAGGCGCAGAAGTGCGTGGAGACCTGGCCCAGCCAGCGCCCTGGGGCCCGCCCTCATCTTTTCTGCCCTAAGCACCCCAACATCTTCCCAGCGTTCTGTCTGAGAGCGGGACCGGGATGTCTGCTGCCTCACGTCCCCCCAAGCCAGGGAGGGGCCTAAAGCCAGGTCCACTCTGAAACCCCACTCCCGCCCGATCCAACTCCCCCGCAGCTGGCCACATAACACGAGAGGGAGGATGTCCCAGGCCCCCACCCCACCCCCCTGGATGCATGTGAGGACACAGGGCCCGTGAAGACAAGCCGGGACCTGGGCCACCACTTCTGTCTAGAATCTGCCTTCGGTGGGTGGCCCGCCGGACCCTGGCAGCCTCTAACCAGCCAGGGCAACCTTGCTGGCCTCGGCGGGGACGAGTGCATTTTGTGGCATTTAAAGCAGGTTTAAAGCAAAAAAAAAAAACCCACGACATTTCTTTGCTTAAGTGGTTTACCCTTCGTGGTAATTAGATGTAGCGATTGGACTCTCTTTTCTATTACATGGCAATTTTCCTTTAAACTTCCCCTTTAAAAAAAAAAAAAAGGGAAGGAGAGGAGGCAGCAGGGCCAGGCGAGCCATTTGCATTTTGCGAATGAGGCCTCTAAGCTCAGCTCAGGCGTTGGGCCCAATGTATGGAATGCTTCAGAGATGACTAAGAATAAAATCTATTAATTAGTCATACTCGGCTCCACAGACATGACGTGCATCAGAAGCTCCTTGTCTTCCCCGTTCTCCGTCCCTCTTCCTGTGGCCTCCTGAGGAAGCCTCCATCTTCTCCTTGAAATTGGCTCCGGCTTCCTGGACCGCCTCCATGGTAACAGGCCGGTGGCTAACCAGGGGGCGACCCCACCCAGGGCCGCGGTGCTGGGCTCGGGGCAGGAGCTGGGGCAGGGGCTTCTCGCTCTGGGTGATGCTGGCAGAGGAGGTGACAGCGGCTGGGAAGATGGCAGTGGCTGGGGGGCCCAGGCTTCCCCACCCAAAGCCTGAATAAAGGCCCCTCCTGCCTGTGCCTCTCCTCCCTCCCTTGACAGGTCCAGGGAAGCCCACCAGCCCCAACAAGGGGAGCCCAAGGCCAGGCAGAGAGGGAGGAGGGGCTGGGGGGCCCCCCAGAGAGCTACAGGGAAAGTGTGCCTTGCAAATCCACAGCTTCTGTTTCCCCCCTGTCAAGTGGGGGTGGGCTGAGGTGGCGCCTGGCTGCACCCAGTAAAGCTGGGTGCTCCAGAGACCACCTCCCTCCGCGCATCCTGGAAGTATTTGGTCCAATACAGGTGACGGAGAACCAGAGAGGAGGGACAGCCAGGTGAGGGACGCCCGTGGGTCCGAGCAGGCTGATCGGAGCCTGGAGACGGGGCTGGGCAGTGTGCCTGGGGCTGCATCCGAGCCTCCCTCCTCACCCCCTGGGAGCTGGGGACCGAGGGGAGGGCGCCCTGCCCCCCCGAAAATGGCAGCACGAGTCCCAAAGCCAGCCCACGCCACTCCAGAAACCTGCGTCTGCTGAATGCACCAGGGAGGAGGACCGGGCACCTGAGGCTGATGCTTATGAAAAATACAAGGAAAATTGGATGCGGCAGACAGGGAGCAATGGGGCCGGGGTGCCTGCTGGAAGGAGGGGCCTCGGGGTGCACGGCAGTCTGTGCCCCCAAGGACCAGACCGAGCTCTCGGGGCCAGGACATGGCCAGGGTCAGCTGTGGGCGTCCCATGAGCCCAGGCCCCCTCCTGCGTTCAGTCGGCGCAGGTGATGGGCAGCAGACACCTGGTGCTGGATCGCGGCCAGGCTGAGTGCTAACGAGCAATTCACAGCCTTCCAGAATGCAGGCAGAGGAGCATCCTTTTTTCCTGAGGAGGGATGAAAGGCTCAAAAATGCAAATCATTACCATTTACAACCAAGCGAGTCTGCTAAATTGATTAGGAAAGATTAAACTCCTTGGAGGTGAAGGAAAAGGGGATTTTTCAAGTTTTATGAACCTGCCCCCAGTGACCATGCGTGTAGCAGGGATTTGACAAGCCGGGCTCAGGGGCTGCCTCTTTGCAGCTGCTGGGGGAGCTCAAGGCCGACACCACCCAGGCCAGAGCACTTGGCGTGCCCGGGGTTGATGAAGCTGGGGCTCAAACATTGCCTTCAGAGAAACCAAGTCTGCCTCCATCCGGGGCCTTGTGCTCTGGCTCTAAGACAGGGTGGGCTACTGGGCCCTGACAACAGTCATTCAGAAGCTGTCCCAGCCCCCAGCAGAGCCTCTCCCCCTGCCCTCCAGATTCTGTCCGCCCGCGGCGGTCCAAAGTGAGGGGAAGTGGCCAGGCCAGTCAGAGAATAGGACTCAAGCCATGAGCTTTTCTGCTTCTTTCTGTTCCAGCATGGGTGTGTCTCCGATCCATCCGTTCCCTGCATTCAGTGAAAGGGGCGTGGGGCCAACTGTAAAGGGAAAACTGAAGGCAGGGAAGAGAAACTGGCCTAGCAGAGGAATCAGGCAGTGAGCTCTCCGTCACAGGGAGCATTCAAGTACTTGATGAGGCTATGGCAGGAATTTTCCTGGTTCTTGGACTAGAAGGTCCTGGTCCCCCTGCCCTTTATGTTATCATCCCCAGGACCCTGAAAGGGAGACATGGAGAGGATGACTGTGCTGCTCCGAATGACTGGTCCTCTGAAAACCCCAGACCAAGGCCGTCCCCCAGCCCCATCAAAGAGCTGCCTGTGCTACAAAAGAGAGGCCACGAAATTCCCACCCTCGGTGTCTCCTGGGAGAGGAAGCACAGACATCCCCACTCCATCCAGGAGTCTGGGCAGGGGGTTCAGAGGGTGGCCCACCCCTGGGGCTGGCTCACCTGGGGCCACCTCCCAGCCTCGGCTGCGGGTCCCGGCTGCCTCCTGGACCTGCTCGCACTGCAGGGCCCTTGCCATGCCGAGCTCCCACCACCGTCCCACCGGCTGTTTTCCTAACTCGACACCCTCAGCGCTGCTGGCTTGGTACATCCATCCCAGCCAGGTTGACGGCTGCCTGGGGCACCGTTCGCTCTGCCTTTTAAGCAGTTACCATTTCTTTTGAAATGTTCCAAGTACTTGCCTGGAAAATCCACGTTTGCGTCTTTAAAAACACTCACAGAAAGGTCCCCAGGCTCTGGATTCCTCCTCCCTCTACCTTCTCCTTTTCCCTTTGCATTTTTAACAGTGTCTGTCTCTGGTTTCGTAAGCTCCATTATGGCTGCGGTCAGGCCCACTTTCCCACCATAAATGGGATTTGCAGACGCGCCCAGACCCCCGAGGCCGCAGGGGCCAAGTGGCCTGTTCTCCCCTGGGCAGACCTTCAGCCCCGGGGCAACTCCTGTCTGCTTCCCGCTGGACAGGGGTCACCCCCTCCACCCTTCCGGGGCCTTGTGCTACCGAGGTGCCCTGCTTGTGCCAGGCGGGCAGTGGGCATGCTGCGGGGGCTCACCCCCACTTCCTAGCAGTCAGCCCGAGGCCCCGCAGTCATCCGAGCGAGCAGGGCACCTGAGCCCCGTCCTTGGGCACCCACCCACGCCGTCCCCCACACCTGAAAGCCGGAAACGCTGAGCCCGAGAGTCCTTGCAGGAAGGTCTTCGCTGTCACCGCCCCTAAATCTCTTTTACAGCTGTCAGGGTGGACGGCTGCTCGGGCAGGGTGCCAGGCCCCTGAGCTCGTCCGTGTCGGGTCACTGAGCCCAGCACAGCGCCTGGCACACGGCTGCTCCGTCATCTCTTCTCCAACCCTCCTCTCGCTTCCTTGTCCTCCTGCTCAGACTCCGCGCAAAGGACCCAGGCGTGTTAGCAAACCCCCCCCCCCCAATCTGGCACCTGCCCCCTGGCAGCCTAGTACGCGAGGGGCCTCTCAGGGCTCCTCCTCTCTGAAGCATCTCACTCCGCTCTCCCTTGGACCCACACAGGTGTCCCACCTGTGTGACCCTCCCATCAAGAGTTCCCACACCCTGCGCCACCCCCTGGAGGAACGAACCAAACTTTCTCCTCAAGACGGAGGAAAGCAAAGGCAGCACGAGCTGACAAAGCCACAGCAACAGCGGCTGCCTCACCTGCCCTGCGCGGGGGACATGCCTGCAGAGTCCCAGCGACCACCCACCTCTGGCTGGTCCTGTTTCCGAAAGTTCTGGCTACCCGGCGGAAGATACAAAAGTCTGAAACTAGCCTTAGCTTTTCTTTTTAAAAAATATGTTTTTATTGATTTCAGAGAGAAAGAGAGAGGGAGAGAGAGAAACATCAGTGATGAGAGAGAATCATTGATTGGCTGCCTCCTGCACGCCCCTCACTGGGGATCGAGCCCGCAACCTGGGCATGTGCCCCGACCGGGAATCGAACCGTGACCTTCCTGGTTCATAGGTCGATGCTCAACCACTGAGCCACGCCAGCCAGGCACTAGCCTTAGCTTTTTTCTACCCGACCCAGCACGCCACCTGCCAGCAGGCCGGTGTGCCCGCTGAGACGCCCACCCGGCGTCCAGGGCCGGGCGCCAGACTGCAGTGGGTGGGGGGTTCTTTGGACGGGGAACCTGGTGCCTTGCAGCTCACAGAGATGCTGAGAGCCGTGGGGAGGGGTCTGGATGGCCCTGCACGTGAGGTTTGTCTTCTGGAAGGGAGAGAAGGGGGGAGCGATGGTGCGGAAGGTTGGGGAGCTGCAGGGGGTGAACGTGGAGAGCCAGCTGGCTGGAGCGGACGCCCGCTCATTACGGACGTCCCCAGGAGGGTGCGAACGGGAGGCAAAGGGGAGAAGTCCACTGAGAGCACCCCGGGCATGAACTGCAGAGGGAATGTTTTGAAGACCCGCCGGCAGCAGACCCCTTTGCCGGTCAAGGTTTTTGCGTGGCCTTTGGTGTTGAGTGGGATCCGTTCCCGGTGGTCTGGGGAGGAGGCTGGGAGGGGTCCTCAGCCGGGCCCTGGAGAAGGGTGGGCCCCTCCCCTACAGAAGGCGGGTGCCTCATCTCTCGCAAGCCTGTGACCAAGGTCCCTTCCGCTGCCGAGGGACCCCTGCCCAGGCACCCCAGCCCCCCTGGGGCCCCTTCCCTTCCTCCCCTGCAGGAGCAGCCCCATAGGCACTGGGCTGCACAGCCCTTGTCTCCTCCCTTTTTTCTCTGAAGGGCAAAGCAGTCTGGGGGTTGGAGGGATGGGACCACCCCTCGGCTGCCTGCTGCCGTCGGGACCCAGCCTGGCCTTGCCGCCGGCTTCACTCCCAGCCTCACCACCACAGAGAGGGTTTTGGAAACCAACACACACGCCCACCACGACCACAACACAAACCAAAGTGCACTGCGACCCGCCCGGCCTCCTTCCTGTAGGTGCCTTGAAACGTCAATGTCGACACGAATGTGATGAACTATCTGGTCCTATTTTCTGTTTGTCTGTTTTCATATGAAATGTCCAAGTCCACTTCCCTTGTCCTTTCTTGAAATAAATAGAAAGATTTAACTTTTACGGTCGTCTCGCCGCTGACTCTCGGCTCGGGGCCCAGCGTTCCAGGGGCCAGGGGTCTGTCGCACCGTCTTGGCGCCCACACCCCATCCCCAGGCCTCGCTCCCTGGGGCAGCACTGGCCCAGGCAGTGGCAGGCGGTGGGGGTGGAGGGTGGGGGGGGTTCGGGGTGGGGTGTTGGATAGAGACTCTGGGTTGGGGCACCATTGGAACCAGAATGACTCTGCCCCAAGAGGAGAGGGACCTCTG